ACTAAGCCAAAAAGCGAGTTTACGGCTTCCGGCCTTGAACTAAAACTTATCAAATCTTCCTACGCTCAATTCAAAGGACTCGTTGACACAGGCGCAGATCTATGCCTAATGCGCAGGAACATTTTCCTCAAGCTGGGCAACGAAACTCTTACCGGAAAGGAAAAGTGTTTGACGAGAATAGGCGAGAGTCAAGTTCTAACTTTTGGGAGCATTGTCATTCCTGTTGAAATAGACAACATGCACATGGAGGTGGAGTTTCACGTGGTTCCAGATGAGGACATGGGTTTCGACGCAATTTTGGGCAGAACTATCCTGGATATTGTGGACATGAAAGTTACAAAAGAAGGCACTGAGTTTATGCGACGGAATGAATCCAAAAGTAACGAAGATAAGCATATCAATTTCGGGTCCGAGTTTCTGCAAGACTTTAAGGGCATGTGTGCAGAACAGGCAGCAGTTTCGGATCACGTTGATTTATCCCATTTAAATCAGTCACAGCAGTCTGCGGCCAAAAGTATTATGCACCCGAGCGCAACGCAAATGCTTCGGTACAAATGAAAATCATTTTGAAGGATGAAATACCTGTCTATCAGCATCCACGACGTTTACCTGTCTGTGACCAGAAAACCCATGTCCAGAAAAGATTCAAGCTGTGAAAGAGTTTCCCACACCACATGACAAAAAACGATTCAGCGATTCCTAGGTCTGACTTCTTACTTCCGAAAGTTTATAAACGGGTACGCTTCCATTGCCAGGCCCTTGCCGGATTTACTGAGAGGCGATTCCAAGTATGAATTTGGAGAGAAACAACAATTTGCGTTTGAAAAGCTGAAGGCTGCTCTTATTAGCGAACCAGTCCTAAAGTTATATAATCCTAACTTACAAACGGAAATCCACACAGACGCATCCAAGTACGGTTTTGGCGCAGTCTTACTGCAGAAGGACCCCGTAGACAGTGTTTTCCATCCAGTCCAATACATGAGCCGAAAGACATCACCGATCGAGGAAAAGTACGATTCGTATGAACTGGAAGTACTGGCTATTATTGGAGCTCTAGTCAAGTGGCGTGTCTATGTGTTAGGCATAAATTTCACAATCGTAACTGATTGTAACGCGTTCAAAATGACAATGAACAAAAAGGAAGTTCCTCTTCGCGTAGCTCGTTGGGCTTTATACTTGCAGGACTTCAACTACAAGATCGAACATCGCTCAGGGACCCAAATGAAACATGCTGACGCCCTGAGTCGAGTCTCATGTTTCTTTTTGTCAGACTCTATTACTCATCGCTTAAAGGAAGCCCAGATTAACGATGATTGGACAAAAGCAGTTCGGAACCTTGTAGAAAAGGATGCATACCAGGACTTCTATATACAGAATGACGTTCTCTTCAAAGATCCGACTCGTGAGCTGCTCGTAGTACCTTCGACTATGGAAAGTGAAATAATTCAGAGCGCGCATAGCCAAGGGCACTTTTCTGCCAGAAAGAAACAGGATGTAATCGAAAGGTCAAATTTCATTCCCAAGCTCAAAGATGAAACCGATCGAATCGTCGAGAGTTACATCAGATGCATTATCGTAAATGCCAAAGCCGGCAAGAAAGAGGGATTTCTAACTTCAATTGACAAAGGCGATTTACCCTTCATTACATACCACATCGACCACGTCGGGCCCATGGAAATGACGACCAAGCGATATAACGACATCCTTGTCATAGTAGACGGATTCTTAAAATGTGTCTGGCTCTACCCAACTCGTAGCACTGGTGTAGACGAAGTTCTAAACTGTCTGGATAAGCAAGCCGTACATTTTGGAAATCCTTACCGCATAGTGTCCGACAGAGGCACTGCTTTCACATCTCTCGCATTCAAGGAATACTGCGAGTCACACAACATACAGCATCTGCTTATAGCGACAGGTGTACCACGCGGAAATGGCCAAGTCGAAAGACTTAACAAGATCGTCGTACCAATGCTAGCAAAGTTGAGCTATGAAAGTCCATTAGCTTGGTATAAATACGTGGGACGAGTTAAGCAAATTATGAACAGCACTGAGCCGAGAAGCACCAAGATTACGCCATTCAAGCTTTTAACTGGAGTTGATATGCGATTAGCCGGTTGCCATGAACTGAAGGACTTGATGCAGGAGTTTGCGATAAAAGATCTAGATGAAAAGAGAGAGAAGTTTCGCCAAACAGCCAGTGAAAACATCAAAAAGGTACAAGACGAGAATAAGAAAGCGTTTGATTTGAAGCGGAAACAAGAAAGAGTCTATCAACTCAATGATTTGGTAGCAATCAAAAGAACTCAGTATGGTGTCGGATTAAAGCTTAAGGGGAAGTTTTTAGGGCCCTACAAGATTGTTGCAGTAAAGGATCATGGGCGGTACGAAGTAGAACGTATAGGTGATTCAGAGGGTCCATTTAAAACATCTACGGTTTCCGAGTATATGAAACCTTGGTCGGGTCCATTCGAGGCGAATGAACAGTCAGGAGGGCCGAATGTAGGATTTGAATCTGGCGGGCTTATTACACGGCACACTCGAAGCGGGTTAAGCTATATGGCAACTCTTAATCAGTTTGCAATCTAAAATCCTCGATAAAGTAGTCGATTCTTTTAATTCCGCCGATACCTACACGAGTGAGCGGGGATTCGTCGTTTAGCGTTCGTGAAGACAAGAATACAATTCATGTGACAAACAGAACTCTGTAAAATTTAATCTAAGCACTTCTATGTTTAAACTTTATCCCAATAAAACATTGCGAATCTAACGATTCCCACATAGATCTTTTTGCAAGGCTTTTTTAAAACACATTGCTAGCAAATTTGGCTTTCTTGATAGGGTTTTTACTAGATTTCTGACGCATTTCACGTGGTTTTATGTAACATTTTGAAATGCTTTTTATGACGCTTGCTAGGGCTTTGTAATACTTTTTGCTAAACTTTTTTGCCACATTCTGCAATGACTGTTGCTAAAATTATTGCGATCCTTTCGTGTGTTTTTGAAAGGCTTTTTGCGACGCTTGCTAGGGTTTTTGTAATACTTTTTGCTAAACTCTTTTGCCACTTTCTGCAAAGCTTGTTGCGAAGCTTATTGCGATCCTTATGCCTAGGCTTTTGGCAAGGCTTATAGGAAGGCTTATTTCATCTCGCAAGGTTTCTTGAAACGCTTTACGAGGATCTCTTCTTTTTCTTTTTGCAAAAAGTATTTGCAAGACTTATTTTATTGCAAGTTTTTTTGCAAGGTTTGTTAAGACACATTTTTATCATTTTTGGCTTTCTAACTTTGGGCTTACATTTTTTCTCGCTTGCTTCGACTTTTTTCGATGCTTTTTTGCTTGGGTTTTTGGTATACTTTTTGCTAATTAGAGGCTATTGCGAGACTGTTGGAAAGCGTCTTGCCAGGCTCACTGCAAAGCTTTTTGCAAGGTTTTGTAAGAATTTGATTAGCCGCTTTACGCGGCTCTCTTCTTTTCTGGCTTATTGCAAAGCATATTTTATGGCTTATTGAAAGGCTTATTGGAAACCTTATTGGAAGGCATATTGCATGGATTAAGCAAGGCTTATGGCAAGGCTTAAGCAAGGCTTGTTGCGAGGCTTATTGCGATGCTAATTGCATGGCTTACTGGAAGGGTTATTATGAGGCTTTTGCGCTACTTTTTGCAAGGCTTCTTGCTAGCCTTATTGCGATGTTTATTGCGAGGATTATTTCGAAGCTTATTGCAAAGCTTATTGGAAATCTTCTAGCGAGCTTATACCTAGATTTATTTTTAGGCTTTTTGAAAGTCTTTTTAAGATCCTTTTTTGAGCCATTTTACGTGCCTTTTTTAAAACATGCTTGGCAAGGTTTTTTGCGGCGCTCTTTTTACATTTGTACGTGGCTTTCTTGCCAATCCCAATTTTTTCGTGTCACTTTTTAAAAAGCTTGTTGAGAGGCTTTTTGAAATCCGTGTGTCACGGCTTTTTGAGAGGCTAATTGCGGGGCTTATTGCCAGTCTTATTGCGATGGTTTAGCCAGGCTTATAGCGGGGCTTGTTGCGACCCTAATGAAGAGGCTTACTGCGGGGTTTATTGCAAACCTTATTGCAAGCGGGTCTTATTGCGAGACTTATGGCGATGATTATTGCGAGGATTATTGCATGGCTTAAGCAAGGCTTATTGCCTTATGGCGAGGTTTATCGGAAGTCTTATTTCGAGTTTTATTGTGGGCTTATATTGAGGCTTTTTCCAAGGCGTTTTGATAAGCTTTTTTTAACCATTATTTAAAGGCTTTTTGCAAGGCTTCGCGTCGCTCTCTTTTTTTTTTGCAAAACTTTATGCAAGGCTATTTGCGAAGATTTTGTAGCCTTTTTTCAATGGTTTTTGCCACGGTTTTTGTGATCCATTTTGCCAAACTTTTTTCCGCTTTTTGCAAGGCTTGTTGTGGGGTTTCGATGCAAGAATTTTTAAGTCTTCCTGAAAGGCTTATAGCAAGGCTTATAGCCAGACTTATTTCGAGTTTAATTGTAAGACTTATTGCAAGGCTTATGACAGAACTTTTATCTAGGCTTTTTGCCAGGCGTTTTAAGACGCTTTTTTTCATTATTTCACGTGGCTTTCTTCATTTTTTTCAAGGCTTATTGCGAGGATTTTTGCACGGCTTTTTACAAGGCTTTTTGCACGGATAGGGCGTCTACGGAACATTTTAAAAGGCTCTTTGTGACGCTTTCTAATCCTGTATGTGATTCCTTTTGGTAAACTACTTTCTGCAAGGCTTATTGCGAGGACTATTGCGATTCTTATGTCGAGGCTTATTGCGATGTTATTTCAAGGCTTATTGAAAGGCTTGTTGCAAGGCTATTTAGACGCTTTTTTTTGCCTTTTACGTATACATATTGTATACATATTGCTCGTTTTGTTGCCACTTTCTGCAAGGTTTATTCCGATTCTTATTTGTATATGCTCATTAAAGAAATGTTTACAGTGATACCGCCTTTTCAGCCTTGATTGCCTTAAAGAAAGTATTCAAATAATTTGTAATCACCTGTGCCCCATATGACTGTCATCATTGTAGCCTTGACTGCCATTCGTAAACACTGAGATCAGTTAACAAATAAACATAATCAACATTATTACAGAAATATTTAATTCATCAGAAAGCAAGAACTCATCCATAGAGATACAAATCCATTTTAAGAAACCTTCAAAATGAGCAAATCAAGCGCGGTGAACGAGCGGAAAACAATGATTCTGGAAAAGAGAAAGCTCATGGAAGACAAAAGGATGAGCATGGGATTGAGGTCCTTCTTCGCTTCTTTTATTGGGAGCAATTTTCGACTAAGCACAGAGATGCGGTACTCGTTTACAACCATGATAAGACGTCATAAGTTTGATAAGCATTTTGTTGATGTTAACTATAAAGTACCAGAAGATGAGGTATACGAGCCCATTTATCAAACCGTATTCGACGACGACAGAGACCCAGTGCATAAACCCACTTTCTCTAGGCACCGCATACCACTGTAAGATTCCAAATATATTACTAAAACAGAGAAGTCAAAAATTTTACTTTATTTTATTAAAGAAATCTTTTCCAAATTTGTTAAATACAGGACAAACGCTTTTTTGAGTAAACATCATAATATTAATTATTTTAGGCAGATAAGATGTCTGGAACGCTATCACAGCTCCAAGAGGGAGTACGCCCAGCAGTTTAAGCGAGAAATAAAGCTTCTGATCGACAACCAGCCGACGGCGGAAAATGCATGGCAATTCGTTAGGTAGTATACTGATACTACTATTAACAATTTTAATTTTTAATTCATTATAGGACGATGGCCTATACTTAACTTTGGCCTCCTCTGCACACAAGGAAGGAACTCAAGATGTTTGAAAAAGACTTTTGCAAGCTTTCTTCGGATGAGCAGCGTCGCTACGATAAAATAATGGCAACAAATTTTACATAAAATTTGTACGTAGCGTTAAACTTGTAAAATATTTTTTATACAGTGTAAAAAAAAAACACGATGGAAATAAAAAAAAACAAGGAAGAACGCTATAGTCGAGTACCTCGACTATCAGATACCCGTTACTCAAAGGGAAATGGAGATATGCAAGCAGCAAAGCGAGATTAAAATTCGAGATTTAAGCGTTATGGGCGTTAGAGTGGGCGTGGCAAATTTATTTTTAAATCAATCGATAGGTATTGACGACACCAATACATTTCAGTTAAAATTTTTTATCTAGCATGCAAATTGTGGGCGTCACAGGTTTTCGCGGTTTGTGGGCGTTTAAGTGGGCGTGGCAGTCTACTGAAACAAACTTGCGCTGCGTAAGAAGCTCAGGAATCTGTACGCCAAATCTCAATAGCCTAGCTCTCATAGTTTCCGAGATCTCAGCGTTCATCCGGACAGACAGACGGAGAGATGGACATGGCTAGATCGACTCGGCTAGTGATCCTGATCAAGAATATATATACTTTATGGGGTCGGAAACGCTTCCTTCTGCCTGTTACATACTTTCCGACGAATCTAGTATACCCTTTTACGCTACGAGTAACGGGTATAATTAAAAGAAAAATGCAGATTATAAATCATAAAACCTTCTTTACACATGCACATCGACACTCTTAAGGATAGATAAGTTAGATAGACAGTGATTTTGTGGAAGTTAACCTTATGTTTAGCACACTCTGACTTACAAAAATATTTCCAAGCGAACTAGTCCGACTGAAACCTTATTAAAGCTATTTACTTTAAATCACAGTAAACAAAATTTGAATTTAACTTTTCTTCCATATATCAAATAAAATATATAAGACAGGTTTTACTTATAAAATTTAAAATTGATCCCAATGCCGCTTAAATGGATTGTTACATTTAAATGGGTGTTTTTTTGTAATTTTTCAATATCAAAAGTTGAGGAACCTATAAAGTCATCAGTCAAGAAATATTGGAATATTGGAAATTGGAATAGGCTTGCTGTAGATGCAAACTTTTGTTGCATACTTTTCTGTTCATTCTCATAAGTGATAGCTATTCTTATACTGTGTTTATGCGATGCCGAATTCACGCTTTAATTTCGCGATTTAAACAAGCAGTAGAAGTTTTGATCCGACCTGTTTTTAAAGCTGACTTTGTGAGGTCGCTGCCAGTAAATAAATATGTGTTATACCCGTAAGTGGAGATTATTTTGTGTGCTAACAAGCATCTATAAATAACAGGTATTTTATAATCCATAGGAACTCGTCCTCCGTCTTTTTTCATGACATGTTTGTATCAATCGAGTGATCGAGTTTCTATGATCATAATGAAACATCGGCATTTTCATGCTTTCATATGTCCATTGAGCATTAAGACTTTATTTTGTAAAACAAAGATCTTTGAGAGGGATATTAAAAAAGCATCGAGATTAGATAAAGTGTAAACTTTAAAATGAAATGGTCAACTCATAGTAATCGTTTAGACATTATTTGTTCATATATAAGCAAGGTAATATTTTGACTTATTAAAAAGTTAGAGCCTTATTAGCCTGGAATTCAGCATATGCCCATTTAATAATTATTATTCGATTGGATCCTTAACAATGTAATGTTAACTGGTAATTGTTACCAATGCATTGGTAAAAACAATTGTGAGAATAATACTAGTTCAAGGAAAAGCGGATTGTAAATGTTTTCTATAAAAGCCGGCAAGCCTTTTACAAACCAATTTAATAATAAATATTTAAGAGTAGAATTTTCCGGTAGAACAAACGAGCCAGAAATCGCCGGCAACTTCTGCCACAATGGAATAAAGAGAAAATTTCCCAGCTCAGCCGAACTCTCTGGCCATGTGTGCGAAATTGCGCAGGCAAAAACAAAAACAACTTTGGCTAAATGCTGGCGAGCGAAAAACTTGTAATTCAATTTTGAGGGGCAACTTTGCCAAAATGCAAGCCAAATGTAATTAACACGCACACGGACACTCGCACAGGCGTTGGACTTGCTGCAGTGGAGTGGCAAAACGACTTGTACACCTGCCAGACGGGCAGATAGAACCTCCCATGCCACATCCCGATCAGACCCAGTCCAATTCGACCCAAGCCCGGCCCAAATCAACATCCCATTCCCACTCCAGCCGGCTGCCGTCGATTGGCATGGAGTGTGTCCGGAATCGCACTCTAGTTCTAGGACTGTGCGAGTTCTGTGCTCGGCGGGCGGGAATGGAAATGGCCAAGTGGGGGCGGCCTCCGTCAGTTACAGGCTTAATTGAGTTGTGTTCGCAGCATTTAAAATGGCCAACAGCGCTAACGATCCGCCCAGCCATACCATGGCTGAAAAAACTACCATGAAAATAACATGCACGAATATTAAATTTCCATAAATTAACAAAGTGTCAACAAAATACTACTAAATTACCTGTGGAGGCACAAATCCATTAGGCTTTTTTAGGAATGTAAAAAAGCTAGTGAGGCATTTAGTTTTGATTTTCTTTCTAAAAAACCAAACCTCAAACATAATTTAGCTTGGTCAAGGGTACTAATTTAATTGTGCATATTTTACCATTTTCCAACCAGAGCTTAGTATTTTCCCACAGTACCACCAACGCAGCGCCAGAACATAAAATTGGATTAAATGCCGACGATTTGCAAGCAAAATACTTGCCCCTCCTGCTGCGCAGAAAACACATTTAAGCTTAAGTGGCCAAAATGAAATGTAGTGCTGCGCGGCATGAAAGTGAAAAGAATTTTTGAACAAACAGCAAGTTGTTGCACGCAAAAAAACTGGACTGCGGCTACAAGCGCATAAATCTAAACCCTTTTTTAGCAAAAAGAGAACACAACTATCGGGACAAATTTGGTGATTGATGAATTGAGCGAGCGTTACGCATACGCCATGTGGGCCGGCAAAAACTCGCAATAATTTCATTTAACATGCATAGACCGACTGGCAAGCTGGCAAACTGTCACAACTCGAACCCGACCCCAAACCGATACCAAGTCCCCCCAGAATGATGCCCGATTTTTGTGCAATTTATGACTTTGGCCTGGGCGCACTCGTCACAAATGCCAAAGTCGATTTCGCGGACTCTCGCGTGCTTTCGAATGGCTTTCGATGGCTCGAAAATCTATGCATTTTGGAATATTTGTGTGGGGCGGAAAGCAGGAGCGCCTAAGGAGACGGGAAATTTAGTTGTGTTGGCCAACAATCGAGTATTGGAAATCCATTTTGGCGGGTCTATATTGTGAATGTGAATGCGAATGCGAATGCTGCACATTTGATTACTGCTGTGGGCGGGGTCGAAGGCCACGGGAGCGGGCTAATGCGATTTGCGCCTGCCCTGCTGATTGTTACCGCCGATTCCGCCTCGGCCACATCATTTGCCGTTTGCAGTTTGCATTTGCCGTTTTTCCAATGACATTATTTACTTAGCATTTGCATTTCCAATTTTGCATGCTGTGCATTGGCAATTGCCAGCGCAAACACACACGAAATGCCAAAGGATGGTTGATTTTTACGGCTGCTGATTGTGCTCCTATTATGTTTATTTGGTCCCGAATAATGAATGGCACAATTAATTCGAAATGGCAATCAAAATGGGCTCAAGTTATCCCCCTGCACAGTGACCTTTCCCAGTTGAAACATGTCTGTACGTACTCCAACTGGGCAGCTGAGACAGAAAATCACAAACAAGCTGCCAATCAAATGGAAATGGGCTTAGAATGCCCTCATTGAGAGGCAAAGTGACCCCTTCTGGCCAAAAGTTTTTACTTTCAACTCGGAAAATTAAATTTGTCGCTTCGGTTTATTTTTGCTGGCGGGTCCTGTGTGCGGAACAAAATAAAACTCGAACTTGCATTCTCAGCCATTTTGCAGGCCACTCAAATAGAATGCCTGAGAATATTCTAAAAGCATTTTCAGCAGTTTGCCAAAACATGGCAAATTTAAAAAACTCGTTCAATGCCGGAACTATGGGCTCAGGCTTTCCACACACCACCACAAAATGTTTTATTAAATTTTCATTCTCGAGAGGAGAATTTTGCGGTTGCTCATAAGCATTACAGGCCCTTTACCTGGGCTTAAAAGTTTCAAATCATTTGGCCTAAAATATGGCCTCCAGGTAAATGCGATGATGAGGCAATTTATTTGTGTTTATTTTTGGCATTCGTTTGCCCCGACTTCTTTTCACTTTGTCGATATTTTACAGGAGCCTGCCCCAGACCCCGGAAGCATTGAGATGATTAAGCGTTCGCTGGCGGGGCAAGTATTAATAAACTTGTAGCACACACTCATCCACCACAGTGAGCGGGAAAAAATGGGGTGTTTGTGTGGCAAAGGAATGACCACCGTGCCGCAGAAACGGCTTGTAAAGGGAGCGACAATATAATTTAAATTTATTTAACAACCGACTTGTGAAAATCGTAAACGGAGAGGGATGGGTCCGGGCCAAATATACACACACTCCGCTCCTCGGTAGAAATTGCACCACAACAACATTAAGTAGCTCATTAAATTTCCTTAACCAACAGAACACAACGCAAACGCAAACAAGCCACTGGCAGACCAACTGACTTTTCGTTTTTATTTTGTAAGTAGGAAATATTATAGTAGAAAAACGGCGCCGAAAGAAATGAAATCGCCGGCGAGGGCGTTTGAAAGCGGACTTGGGGGCGTTGGGTTCGTGGGGGCGTGTGGGCGTGGCGGCGGTCTGCCTCAAAGCGAGCGAGCTGTAAAAACCCCGTAAGTGTATTTTTATTGCGTATAAAATGCATTTTGCAATGCCACACAAAACTCAAGTGGTGTGCGTTCTGAGCGGAAGTTACGACCAGCGGACTAGGACCACAAATACCCACACACAGACACCCGCTGAATTGCGGCTGTGTGGGTGGGTGCTTGTGTGTGCGCCGAGAAATCTTGATGTCGGAAGTTATGGACTACGAAATAGGGGAAATCGTCAGAAATTTCGTACTCCTGCTATTGCATTTTTTAAATAATATTCATTTGGAGTGGGGCAATCAAGCGGAAGCAATCATAAAGGGGCAGGCATATTTAAATATTTATTGTGCACCGATTTAATACTACACGAGCCAATAAATACATGATTTTTCAACGGAATAAAAACTGTTTGGTGTTCCAAACTAGCATTTACACCATTTAATAGAGATGCCGTATAATAAATCTTATTTGTAAGATATGGTCAAAATACCTCAAGTGTTCTCCATGATAAGGACCCATGATCGCCCTGAATCAACAAAACAACAAACCACTCAAAGCCCTTAAATGCGTACCAAATATTCAAGATGTACATTACTTACACTCAAGTCCCGGCAGGACTTAATCATACTTTCCCCGAAGCAAACTTCTTCAGCCAGTGCAAATACCCCAGTCAAGTAAAACAAACGAGTTGGCAAGCAATGATTGCTCAGCATTGCTACTTGTTGTTAAATATGTTGCACAAACAAACAACATTCATTACACCAGTAAGAGGGTTTAGTGCTGGGGGAATGGGGCAGAAATGAAGGATCGTTTATGTGAGTGCTGGGAAATTGGCTGTGCAGCGTTAAAATCGGAAGATATTGCCAGAAGGTCAAAGTTAAACTGTGTCGGTGATGGAACCGCGTTTTACACCTTGCTCCAGTTCAATGTTCACCCAAGTAGGGGTTACCCATTGCGATGGGGCTATAAATAAGCTAAAGGTTATCCCTTGGGTCTGACTTATGGTAATCATGTTCAGTGAATAAAAAGAAATGACTATCCTTTTCGAATGATTTATAAAATTTGCATTTCTCAAAGAGTAATCATTGAATACCAGTGATATGAATCCCACTAAACCAAACGTAATACTCGTATTATACGGCAGTGAGTATAAGGTTTAACCATTTTAGTTAACTGAGTGAGTAATCCAAATCCCATTTTAACTACTGGTCACCCGGTGCGTATGAGTAATAAAAATCCGTGCTTTAAGTTATGCATAAGCTTCCTTTTTTCGAGCACTATTAATTATAATTTTTTCTCCGGCTATTCTGGCAACATATGTATGTATGGGCACGGACAAGGGTGTCGGCCAAACATTTTTAAAATTATATATATAAAAGGCGAGCAGACACCGACACGGACACGGATACTGACACGCTCACATGTGCCGGAAATTGGCGCACACCTTGCAGCCATGCAGTGGCAAGAATTTTTTCCATAAGCATCATAAAACCAGGGCTGACCGGCGATGGTCAGGCCATTGGATACACATATATGGTGTGGCAGGGTAAACGGGGCTGGGGGCAGCTCAGCATGCGGAAATTATAATTTATAGCTCTGAGCTGCGGATGCCAGGGCTTCCACTGTGATTTTTTACCCGTCCGAGGGCCTTTCTTCTCCACTCGGAGCGCCTTTAAAATCGCTGGAACTTTGGCATTAATTGAAGTTGGCCATCGAGGTTGAAAGTCCACTCAAGCATGAATCATAGTCTGTGGCTCTTGTGAAGTGTCAGAGTGGCTTTCCTGCCGGGAAAAAGAGCAAAGTATTCGTTTTTTGTTATCGTCGGGTGTTGCATGAATTGGAGTGGAATGAGGTTTAAAGCTATTTTAGCCCTCACCGTTTAGCCAATGATTAAAACATCGCACTCTAATGCCCATAAATTGTTAAGTCACATTGAAAACAAATGTTTAATTCAATAACAGGCCTGGCTGCATCCACAGCTCCGATTTCGAGTTGCGAAGCCTTTGCAAATTACTTTCAGCTGAGCAATTATTCATGATTGTTTATTTTAATGGGCTAGGCAAAAAACAAACAATAAATTGAAATGGTATTTGATTAATTTTAAAGAACAAATTCAGCCAAGGGCATAACTGAATTAAAGAGCCAATTTACATGACGTTCCAGCCATTGTTCACTGCGTAAATATTTGTTAAGTTGACCTTTTTCAGGTGTTTACACGGCACAAACAAAACTCGACTCACGGCTAAAAAATGGCCATAAAATAGCTTTTGACAAATGACGCACTTCCTGTCAACGCACACAATCACAATCACACATGCATACACCAGTCCCTTAACGGAAACTTGTAAAAAAAGAGGTCGAAACAATTGCAGCGCGCTTTAACATATAAATGTTCACATAGTTACACAGTTGAACAATAAAATAACTCATTGTTTGAATTTATTTATGAATGCATCTCAAATATTTAATATGCACAAACGACCGTTTGCTTAAATGTAATTTAGCGGAAAATGAAAGCAGATGCGGATTTTATTCAGCACTATTTAGTTTACTGCCCGTGGCGATTAAGCTTTCTGATGGGAAAGATCTAATTAAAAATTTAATAAGTTAATATAAAACAAATTTCTTTACAGCACAAAACTCTCGTATACCGTGAGCCAACCAATTTTGGGCTAATTAATTTCACAACCGGAAAATAAAACAGATTTAATTGCATAATTAACTTTATAGGTTGCATGTATATTTTTTTCACAAACTAATTATATCAGTTTTGCAAAGAATAATTGCATAAATAAATGTGCTAATTAAACCATTTGCGCAATGCAATAAATAGCATCATTTACTTTGCAATTGGATAACCTTTAGCAAAAATGACCCAAGTCGGATTTCAGGAGATTCTCCACACGGCGCTTTTGCTTTGGAGTCATTTGAAAAAATTTGGAAACAAAGATATTCAGTTCCTGCTTCGTATGCAGAGGGGGCCAACGTGTTTTATAGCAGAGGATGCTGCAAGCCGGAGAAAATCCAGGTAAACTATGTGAGTTCATTTCAAACTTTAAGCTTACTTTCTCAGGAAAAATTGGTCGCAGATATTGCGTTGACTGGCAATGAAGTGGTCCATTTCCCGCAGAAACTGATGGTTATACTCCTCCTTGGCGTCCAGATACCGCACAAAACAGCTGAGATCGCTGTTAAATAATCCAGTTTTCTAATAACAAACATTAAATATAATCAATTTGGAACCCACTAATGGAACTGCTTCATGTCGTAGCTGGGATGCAGACTGACATCGGCATCATCGCGGAACGCTGTTCTCGGAACGCACCACTCGTCCAATTCCCGGAGACAGTTGGACTCGAATCGGGAGGCCATTCCTCCCAGCGAGATTTGGGAATAGGACTTGACCTTGGTCAGGTATTGCTCCACCTTGGCATTGCTCTGGGTCTTGGTCACCAACTTCTGGCTGGGACGGGTGACAGGAACCTTCCTACCCCGCAGGACATCCGCCACCGAGGTGTTGGAACTCTGGGATCCAACAATCGATCCAGACATATTGCAAATATTTCACTACTTTACGGGAATTTCAGCACTGGCAGTCAAACGTGTTTGAATTAAATTAAATGGCATACTTAAGCGGGCAACAATTAATGCTTTAATAAATATGCCGCATAGTTGTCACTGTCAACGATACCGTGTCCTTGGGGAGTTCTCCATTTAGGCCGCTGGTGTTAATTAATAAAAGCGAAAATAGCCGGGAATATCACGCGGATTTATCAAACGATATCAGGAAACAGGACAGGCTGCTGCATTTTATTTACAGAGCCATTCACATTGGCATTTCAAAAATCATTCATTAATTTTTTAACTCAACAATCAGTGTGGTGCAAAGAGGCGTGGAATGAGAACCAAAAAAATCTCTGTTAAAATATCACATGCAATTAATGCAGGCAATAAGCATGCAATTATTGTAAAAGAGATTCAATGTAAAATATATTCTGCGGCGAATTTGAATGAGAGTTTCGAAATCCAGAGTTTCCTGTAAAATTTGAAGGGCTTTAGAATATAATATCATTGCCAAGAGTTTTTATAATTGGCTAGATGAGCACTTCCGTTTACTACTTATTAAAACTTTGTGTAAGTCCTTGCAATTAAAATACTTGCGTAAAACTGCAACTGTTAATCCACCCAAATGTGCACCCATTACCCAGGTGCGTACAGAAATGAAGTTCAAAAAGATTCCGCACATTTTCGCACCATTAAATATGCATTCACGCATTTAATTTAATTTTTTGAACCGCACCGGGTGGACGGACCACGGAGTGGCTCATTGATGGGGGAATAGGAGCAGGAGCTGCCGCCGACAGGAGACCTGGCCCAATGTTTGCCCAGCAAAAACATGGCCCAAACTGCCGTGTCTATTAAGAGCACATTTAACCAAAGCCCGGGCTCCAGCACGTGTGCAATGAAAACAAACGAGCCCATTATTGTTACACTTTCTTTGGCAACCAGGCCGCAGAGCCCATTAATGATGTGTTATGGACTCAAGAGGCCGGCCTAGGCAATCCCCGAACTTTGGCCAGGCAGCCTCTGAATTGAACTCTAATTGCACATAATGAATTGCACACATTAGGTCAACGAACAGCCAGTTCGGACTGCCACAAAGAGCCTAATGGAAATGCAATGAACTATTTATGGCCAATTGGCCTGCTGAAGTTTGATCACGCACACGTGTTATTAAAGCCAAGATTTCCCAGTTTCCCTTTAAAGCGGCTACCCACAAACTGTGGGTGTTTTCCCTTTGCTTCCTGGCCAACAAAAATTTAGGCCGCAGCAAAATTGACAGCCCGTCCCCAAAGCGGGTAATGACAAAACACTGACTAAAATGTTAACAGCAAATCCAATTTATTACACCAGAGGCCGGCGACGGACATTAATTAGCAAACGGGACACGTAAAAGGTATTAAACGCAAACTCAATCTCCCAACAGGGAGACTATAAAACAGCAGAGTGTTGATCAAATCTGATGATACAGCGCCCGGCATTTGGGGAAAATCGAAAATCCCCACTATCAGCGGAAATTCCCGCAAACTTTGCATCTTTAATAGAGGCACTTAAAGCTTTGATGATTTTACTCCATAGAAATGTGTCGACGCATATGATTGTATCGATATAAATGTCATTCATAAAAAACACCCAAACAATAAACATTAAAAATGCTGATGGTCAGTGCGAGTGTAAACAACAGTTAATGCCAAATGCTAGGGGATTACGAGCGTAATTATGTGGCAATCTGACATGACATCCAAACCAGAGCTGAAAATTGATTTCGGACCTGCAGAAAAGTCCATTAACGAATTAAGTTTACTTAGCACTCTGCCAATATGTTAAAAATATATGCATATGCACATATGCCAGCTATTTTACTTGGTTACTTACGGACACACAAAACAATTTCACTTATGCACAAGTATTTCATTTTGTCACACAAATTCATTTTAAGCTCTGCTCCAACGTCCCCAAATCCGGCAATCCAGATATAATCTCTGTCAAACCCGCACACGTTTGCACAGATGTTTGAACAACTCAACCGAGACTTAAGAGATTTTGCAGCTTCCTCCATTGTTTCAGGGTCCTTGGTCAACTTTTAATTTATTTGATTACTGCGAAATTGCGCACCTCTTCTCCAGTTGAGGAGCACCAGGATGACTTCGGTGTAGTTTTGCAGGCAATTAATTTCAGCCATGGCTCCGAGCATTGTTCACATCAAGGCGGACATATTTTAATTTGATGAAGACCTAATAGGGTTTCGAGCATATGTTCACAGCAAAACTTGTGAATGGGAAAAACTTTAAATGCAAATCAGTTGGCATATGGCTCACTCGTACGACAAACGATGGCGTTTCGGACGAGGATTTCACCGCTCGAAGTCTTTGCCCTGGTGAGCACTAAACAATCCGACGGATTCGGGTCGAAAGCAGTCGGTGGAACACCGCCCACCGCCCCACTTTCCACTGAGTCATCAGGTTAATTCAATTTGAGTTGTAAGCAAATTTTGCACAAATTAAATGCACAAACTTTTGCCATTGACAGACACACACGCCAACCAAGAGTAATAAATTTCCAAAGTGTTTATGTAAACGACCCGATTGCTGCGGAGAAACAGAAAATGAAAGCCCTCGTCTGGCTGCACTTTGTCACCAGGCATGCGGAACATAATGCCGATTTTTTCGCCTGGAAAATGGCAGGGCGATAATAAATCTTCCGCTCGGAACAAATCACAGCCATTCCATTATATACACATTTAATGATGTTGCCAGCCAAAGCCTCCAAATCCGAATCCAAATCCAAAGCAACGAGCCAGAGACAATTACTTGCAGCCCGCGAGCATTTTCCGCGGCTTCTAGCAGAGGAAAAAACAAGGACGAGGTCCATTTTACAATTTTTTAAAATCAATAAAAGGTTCATTTAATTTATCCTGAGTATAACTTATTGAAAATGTGCTACTTAAATTAGATATATAATGCGGAAGATACATCAGTAGGTAATATATACATTTGTTGGCATATCCGATTGTATATTATTGATCTGTAGGTTAAAAGTAAATCATTTTTTTTACAAAATATAAATTGTGTATAAACATATTGTATCCAATTGATTACTTTGATTAATTTAATTTGAATTTACTTACAATAATTTCTTTGAGTGTGCAGGCTGCAAATGGCTCTTTGGGTCTTCAGCAAGTGCAGCAACATGGCCAGTTGTTAAGATAATCACAAGAAATAGCCGACCTGCTCAGGGAATTTCCCTGGGCAGAACAGGAGCAGCATGAAGGGTTTTCCGAGCCAGAGACAAAGTTGCAGTGCAGCTATGCAACTGCGATTATTTTTAATTAGCAAAATTTCTTTATGCATCGACAGTGGCAGAAAGGTAACGCAAAGTCTTTCATTAATTAGAGCCAGCCGCAAAGTATGCAGCGCTTTTTGTCGGGTTTCGCCCCCACCAACACACCGAAAAAGTGAAAATAGGGAGTAACACCCACATGTGGGCACTAAACTTTCGCCACCTGCCCAGCCTCGACGTCATCACCTCTGCTTTATATTTACCCATAAATCTGCCACGAAATAGAACAGCCGGCAAAAAGGCAAAAGGACGGCGACAGAGTTTTCCCCCGGGAAACATACTTCCACTGAAGCTGCTTATTAGCTTTGACATTCGAGTGCGATGCACTCTGGCCAGAGGTGTTTCGCTTGATGTTCTGCAATCTTCTTTTTATCATCCGCATATACATCATTTTTTAGGGGCCGCATAAAACATGACGCAGCCGGAGATGGAGGACGGCATAATTTATTACCCGCTCTCATGCAATTTTTTAAAGTTTTGCCAACAGTGGACCTTTTGTAAAAACCGCTGCTACCAGCGAATTTAGGTGTATTTGTGAACATTTGTAACATTTATCTTTTTCTGATTTAAGTTTCCACTATATCTAAAAATACCAGAACAAATAGCTTCCACGAATTACGATGGGGCTTAAATCAATTTTAAATTTAGTTTTTGCTAAAAGTATGCAGTTAATAATGGATGATCGTCTGTCCAAGAGAATTCATTGTACCTCAGAGTTTAAAATATAATGTTGCATACTTTTAGACTCCCAAATTGACATTTAAACGTGGTTTTAAAGCACTAGTGACTTTTTATGAAATTACTGTAAGACAGTCCATTTGTTTATGACAACTTTATTCACAGATTTCAACCAAGTTTGGAAACATTTAATTCTAAATAAACTATGGTGGTGTTTAAAGAGAGTACGTTTATGCAATTTTGCGGTGTACCCAGCTTCCAGGTATTTTTATGTTGCCGCATACTTTAATATTTTAAAAACTCTTATCCCTGCCTTACTCTGTCAGCAATATTTTGGCAAAATGTCGTATGGAAATACATAGTTGTCTAGAAGTTTTCGGATAAAAGTATCGTGTCTGCCGACCCAAATGCGACAAGTTATGTCCGACTTTCAAGCTCCGCTGGATTTTGGTCTTGGCCTGAAGCGGCATAACCCCGAGCCAGGCATCGAGTGGCCAGCTAACCGAAAAATATCATAAAACTTTTCAACTTTTCCATTTCACTAAATGTGTATGGGAATGCGGGTCGCAAGAGATGGCGTGGAAGCTTCTGGGCCATGTCAAAAATGGCTCGCTCACGTTGCGTTGTTGACCGCATCACGCTCCACAGCATAAAGCAATTACAGCGCCGTGCATTGAATCCTGGCGCTCCTTCAGATACTCGAGTCCTGCTGCACGCACCTCCCGGCGGCACTTTGATTTATGAAATTTTCCGAGCATCAGCACCGGCTTTTACAGCATCCCACATTCTCAATGGGATCGGGCGGGGGTTCGGGCGGGAAGATTTGATTTCCAGTCAGTCATTGACTTGACTTGACTTGGCTAACCAACTTTTCGACGCCACTGGCATGTGTGCCTGCACAGGGGGAAATAAAATCGAGCTTAAAAGTATTAGGCGTTTCTTGATTTTGGTGTCGCCAAAATTAGATTGACCACATGAGTTAAACACAATACCATACTTACAGGAAATGTATTATACATCCACTATTTTTAAACCAAAGTTTATCAGGAAGT